AGGAGAAATTCTGTCCTGGTCACTCATGGTAGTTAAAGGGTTAATACAAAAATGTATATGAATTTTGTTAAATAGCAAACGTTTTCAAAGACAAAAGTTTGCCAAAGCCTAGTTTAAAACATTCCTTGTTTCGATGTTATAAAGTCAGACATACCGCTTCTTCTACACTTACCTCTAAATTATAAGTTCCATCCTTGTTGTAGGAAACAATGATGTAAACCTCTGAAACAAAAGCAAAAAAATACGGTTTGTTCTAGGGAATGTTGTTGTTCATCGTGGCTTTTTTAGAAAAATGAACGTTTAATCGTTTGCCTCACAATTTAGAGTAAGGCTATCAATTGTGTTGATCGCGGTATAAATTACGATTTAGCGTATCATTTAAGGTTGGGCAGGGTGTAACGCTCATATTTCAGGATCGAAGCAAGAAGTTACTTAATAAAAATACCGCGATTTCCTTCATTGACAAAACAAGAGATAAATTTCTGGTACAAAGTGACTTACTCTTAACGGGCCGTTAAACTTTTACGGTCGGGGGATTTTTCAGTATAATTTTTTTTAACCTATCTTCTTCCAGATCCCTTTACCTACTTGAATGACAGTAAACCAGTACAAAAGCATTTTCAAAATCTTAAATTCTGAGAAAAACCAGCAACACAAAATTCAATTCCCTTACTTCTATCACCATCGTCAAGTCGTATTTTTCTCTTCGCAACATTATTGAGTCTGAAGCTCACATTAGAATTCCACACTGAAAACGGATCTGCAAAGATAAGAAGAAAAAAACCGGAATATGCTAAAATAAATAAAATATCAAAGCAAAATATAATATCATCACGATGTGAACGAGAATTTTCAGGCGTGCTATCACGTTTTCATTTTTTAACTTTCACATTCGGGTTGGATTGAAAACTCCGCAATTTTACTTTAAACTGAAGAAAGCTTAGACTACGAGCATAAGTACATACATATACTTTATTTATGCTCGAAATTCAGTGTAGCTGTAGAGCTAATATCTTCGAGAAAATAAGCTAAAATAAATTATGCTATATTACAATTCCAATATTATTTATAAACTATATACATTATGTATGCGTATGCGATTGCGTATCCGCGTATGCGTATGCATAGATTATGTATGCGTATGCATACAAGCAGTCCCTGCTTTTCGGCAAAGTCCGTCTTGCGAATAAAAACAAGCGATGTCAGCGTCACCTCTCCTCTCCAGCTGCCTGGCACTTTACCAGCACCGACAGAGGTACAATGACCAATGCTGGAAGCCAAAGACGTCCGTAACATCTCATGAGGTGCATACAATACGTCAACATAGATGTTCTCACCAGAAGAGAGCGCAGCTCGTTTTTCCTGCTCCTGTCTCTCGAGTAATAAGAGTCCCAAGCTTGCTTGCGCCAGTATTTCGTGGCTCAGCGGTGTTTTTACTGGGAATAGGTCTTGATAATGTTGCTGCAGGGAATTTTAAGTGCAGATAATTCAACTTGACAAAAAAATACATGTTTCTATTACCAATAGCGCATTATCCGGATTTTCGAGATGTGTTAAAACAATTTCCGAAAAGTCTCGAAGATGTTACGATGACTTCCGATAATTGACGAAGATGATCCGATAACTTCCTAAGGTTGCATGACGAAGATTTCAGAAACTACTCAAGATTGTAAAGGGCAGATATTAAAGAACACTGCAATGCGACGGATAAAAGATCCTGCAACTCTTGTTATTCTGGCTTTTATCCTTACTATGAAAATTAACATGTAAACAAAAGCAACTGACTCAGAGTCACCAAGTTCATATTCGTTTATATGAGATCGATTTTGTCGATGCCAAGAAAGTCATACCTACGCATGCGCTAGATGACGCACAGCACTTTTTTAGCTGACTCGACACGAGTGAAGTTCAAAGACCTAAAAGGTTTGAAAGCATAAACTCTTTCAACCCACCTTAATAAAATCAGTGTGAACGTCACCCTCCTTGAAATGGCTGTGTTCACACAGATTTGACAAGAAGCCGATATTTGTGTTCAGTCCCACGATCTGTTGAAAGAGAATATCAAGTAACAGCCACTTTCAGCAAAAAGGGTTTTTACAAACACAGCTAGGCGCTCTTTTCCCGTATCCACTCCTTCAGGTAAAACATTTTGATAACCTCAAAATTGAATTTTCTTTCTAAAATATTCAAATAGTCATGATGGATATGCAAAAGATGATAGATTTTTTCTTTTCAACAAATTTTAGTGTTAGGCAAGTCAGTAATGATGCTTATTGGTCTGAGTGAGGTGAAATTTGGCCAAAATTCATTCGTGTAATTTAAAAATCGAAAGAGTGCGACGCACGAGCGCGATTTTGAAATAACCAGGTTAGTATGATTTCAGAAGGTGCTTAAGAGTTTTATACAAGACGCGTGATTATGGCCAAAATTAGTATGAGGCGTGTGAATGCACAAAAAGGCGAGCGTGATTCGTGAAATCATAAACCAGAGTAAGGCGTGAGTTGCTCGGCCGCTTACTGAGGAGAAGAGGCCTTGTAAAGTACGGAAATAAACCCGATACATACATGATACTGCTGCAGAGACTCTTTCAACAAACTCAGAGCCTGGTCCCTGCTTTCTGACCAGACTACAAGTTTTGCGATCATTGGATCATAATGCACTGATACTTCATCACCTGCAAATAAAGAATGAGTTACACAAGAACACATCAGAAGACAAGCACATTGTCTGAACACAGAGCTTAAAATTGAAAAGTTAGAAAAATTTCAATATTTCTTTTCAGTCTTTCAAACCTTATTTCAATTTTCCAACTTTTAATAAGGTTCGTTTTTGGATCTGACCCGACAATTACGCTCTTACTTGCAAAAATCTCGATAGTCCTTTCCATTCTTTCGAACCTAATCTAAACGTAGTCCAATACCTTTCTTGAGGTCTTGAGCTAGTTCAAGTTAAAAAAAAACTGGTTTGGAATTCTCCTGCCTAAAATCGCCCTTACTAGGCAGCCTGAACTCTCGCTGGACATAAGCTGGTTAGTATAGAGAACTTCCGTAAAGAAGACTGGTCACATTTCAGAATGTTTAGACCTGCATATTCCGGTAGAATTAGAGGTGATGTAATTGCACAATGTGGTGTACATACCTTGTCGTACTCCTGTTTCGACTCTGATTGTGTCAGATGGTTGTGGTGTTGAAAGGTGCAATAGAGGGCCTGCACCAGGGAGAAAATCACTAAAAGGAAAAACGAACATACAAAAAATCAATTAGAACAACAGTCAGAATTCGCGAATAATCCCTTCGTAAAAAAGCTCTTCTATGGAAGGCAAGGCAT